CTCAAGGGGAACCTGTGGTTTGAGAAGCGTATGATCAACAAGCGTATAAACCAACGGCGAGGCAAGATGACTGATTCTCGAAACGGGAACATGTCAAGCGAGAAGCAAGCCAAGGAGCAAGCGGAGATCGATAGGGAGTGGTTCCATGAACGGTTCAAGAACCACGGCAAGCATGGATTACAAGCCGAAGAGATCGAAACGTTGAACTTGCACAGATATGGCCATCATCGTTACAGGGAGCAGAAGAGCTACGATATCAGCTTTGGGCCTGTGCTTGCAATCATGATTGGGGTATCAACTTTGGCAGGGATGGGGGTCTACATGAGCTGAACAGCTTTAGGGAAAAAGACAAGATAATATATTCAAATGGAAGGCACATATGGTAACATGACATGTATAGAAGTTGTAGTACAGCACCAAGTAGATTAGTGTTCTTTCTTCTCTGTTGGCTTCAAGAAGAACCAAAGAGCAGTGATACCGGCAAAGGCTGCAAAGAAGGTCTTGTCGCTGTTTGGAATTTCGCTGTTGTCGTACTCATAAGGCTTTTCAACGTACTCCTCTTCCTCGGCCTTTGATTCGAGATGGAGGAAGTCGCTAAGCATGGAGCCCACAACCTTGGTATTACTGAGAGTGCTGAAAACAGTGGAGTTGATTGAGGACAGATCGAACCCCTGAAGCTCCTTTTCAAGTGGAGTCACCGGGTTTTTAGAAGCCTCCGTGGATATGGAAGGGATCTTGACAATGTAGTCATCTCTGACAAGCGGCTCAGGACGGAGATCCACTGGCTTGATGAAATCAATGTGAGAGTCATCGCCCTTCGCTAGCGCCTTTGAGCTGCTGTTGAAGGACATCTTCGCAGTGACAGTGGATGTCTTTAAAGCTGGTCTATTCATTGTTGACATATTGGCATTGTCCCTTGTGGAGAAAGAGGCCTCGTGGTTGGAAACTCTCGAAACAAGCTCCGCTTTACGTCCAGACACTTTCAGCCCACGCTTGCGACACTCAGCTTTCAAAGTCTGCAGAGACATGAGCGAGAATTCAGACTTCTTCGAGTTGAGCAAAGGGGTGGCATCTTTCTTCGTGGTTTGGTGGACAAGTCTCACTTGCTTGTGTGGCAACCCAGCACAACGTCCTGGTGCAGCTAACACCCTAAGAGAAGGTAGCGATTTGACACTTCTAAGCATTGTTCTCGAAGATCAGCTCAATGGCAATGTCTAGCTTGAACGAAAGTATACGCTTGCTCAGTGTGTAAACAATGGGCAGCAAAGAGATCTCCTTAAAAATTCCTGTTTGTTTTTGTTTTGCCTGACACATCACAAACTCGCGCACCATTCCCAATGGGGAAGACACACAAAACACATGGTACGGGACACATGCCTTCCCGGGTCCGGAGAAACCCAAACATCATCGACTAAGGGCACATGGGCGCGCGCTCTGCGTATTTACTTTCGCTCTCTACAACAGCACGTTTTAGGCAATTAATGATCTGTGTATATACATAATTTATAAGGTTGGATATAGAGTCAATAAGTTAGTGATGATAATAATAAAGGAATATATCACGTGGCATGAATGTCTGATCCAGTTTAGTACTGACGGGCAGCCTCTTGACATGCCTTCAACTGTTGCAAGTAGTAGTCACAGATTTGCATGTTGCCGTCGTTGTCGCTCAAACATCTGGTAAAGTTTCTAGCATCAACGTCACAGGCAGCAGCACCTTGCTGCTGCTGGGTTTGGACGGCTTGCTGTTGGACAGCCTGTTGTTGTTGTTGGTCAACCTGCTGGGAGGAGGAGGAACCACCAAACATACCAGTGATACCGGCACCAATGGTGTGACCAACGGCAGAACCAACAGCAACACCGGCAGCGGTGGAGGCCATCTGTGCAAACATACCTGGCTGTTGAGGCTGTTGTTGAACTGGTTGAGAGTAGGCGGTTGGCTGGTGTGGAGGAGCCTGGTGCTGTGGAATAGCAGCAGAGTGAGCAGATCTGCTCTGAGTTGGTGCAGAGCGGGAAACGGTTGGACGGGAACCACCTGTTCTTCTAGCCATTGTGAGTATGAATTGTTGTCTTGTTGTTAGGTAACAGATTCAAAAGAACAAATCTCAAGAGATGGTTGTAGTGGCGATGGATCTCCCTTTTCAACTTTTTTTTTCTTCTCTCCATTGCCTCTTTGTTCTGGAATCTCTCTGCCCGCTTCGGCTGAGGGCTTCAGTTTTCGGTTTTGCCACCGCGGGAAATCGGGAGCGGCTGTCGTAGTGTGCCAACCATTGTTCTGGCTGTAAACCGCCGCGGGGACAGGGATCTTCCTTCTGGATTTGATCATCGCGGCCTGTGCAGCAGAATTGGGTAGATGACGCATCTACAATAGATGAAGAAACCGAATAAAAGTACATAAGTCATTAGAATAAGCAGCCACGTAGATCTATGGTGTTTCAAACAAACAGTTTTGATAGTTTGTATTTGGATTTGGCGGTTGAAGAATCAACTCTGGAAACGTGAACATCGCCACAGCTCTTTTTGTCATCCTCTGTTACGTCAGAGGTTACAGAGTCGTGAGGTACAACGTGGAGCTTGAGAGCCTCTTCTCTGGTGAATGTGTGATAGAAGTCGTACTCATCAATCTCCCCTAGGCCTACAGGCGGGAACACTCTGTTTATGAGAACGTGAATAATGAAGGAGATTGGATAGCCAATGATGAACGAAATCTCAAACATCTTTATAGCTGGCTTTGGAACGTTTGTGAGGTTAGGGTTAACGCTTGGGAAACCAATAATACCAGGCACGAATCCGCAGATCCATGAGACAAATGCCCTCCAGTTGAATCCATACCAGAACCAGTAGATGGAATTGGGATCTGCAGAGTACAAGTCGGTGAGCTTCAACTTTTGCTTCCTCACGATGTAGTAATCTGCAGTGAAAGTACCAATCATTGGCCCTAGGAAACA